TACCCCAATCACATGCTTCCTGCCCCTTTCCTCTGGATCCCTTCCTCGCAACTTCCCGCCCGCACATTTTTGTGTCCGCACAATCTTTTGCAAGGGTACGGCCGCTGCTAAAATGTAACAACGGAGAAACGCTTGCATGTATACCTGGCACAGTTTCAAATACTTGCAGGCTTTTGCCTTCAAATGGATGTCCCTTGCAAGTGTTAGGCTTGAAGGATCAATCATTCTGAATGTTTCAACGTCCTAATTCAGCCGATCAAGGTTTGAACGCTTCGAGCTATTTAACTTTTCTGCCAAATTCTACATGCCAGTGTTAAAAGTAAGCAGTTCAACACCTGAATGCGTACGACACCAGGCATCAGTGTACTCAAAAATGCAAAAAAATAACCTAACCACTTGCATGATGAAAAATTCTCGCCGTCTTTAGATTATTTTTTGGTGAGCAGGGGCCGAGGGGCCGGTGTGACGTCACCTGAATGACGCGTGCGGCCGTGTTCGGTGATCGCTTGTGCTCGCCACGCCCCCCCTCCCCCTCTAACTTCCTTTCTTATGTCCGTGAACTTGCCGACATTTCCATTCGAGGTGCACGTCGGGCTCTGTGCACGCAACGACCCCCGCTGCGCCCCGGCCGCGCCAGCCGCGCCCGGCAGCGCCTCCAGGGTCGCGGCGGGGAGCGCCTCGTCGGGAGGGCAGAGTCGCCCCTCGACGGGTTAAAATAGGGCTGCAAAAGTAAACTTGTTTATTTTCAACGTTTGCTTGCTTTTTGCTCTTCTATTTCACTTCAAAGTGGGCAGTTCAGTTAGTTTTCCCCGTCGAGTCAAATTGCGGCTTGCTGATGATGTGTGTTTTGTGCTTGATGCGTCGGACGTGTATCGGTGGAGGTTCGACCAACAACTTTTCTTCCCCCTTGTACATGCGACCCCTTTCACCCCCCGCTCCCTCTCAATCTCGACTACAACACCGCTCGCTGTGCGGCGTGTGGTTGGTTTCGTTGCGTGCACGCCGTTTCGCTTTCGTTACTCGCGTGGCGCCGGACGGTACGCCTCACCCCACCCCGCCACTCCCCGCCGCGCTCCGTCCCGCCCCGCCCCGCCACGCCACGCCCCGCCCCGCCACTCCCCAATACACCACGCCACGCGCAACCTCACCTTGCCACGACGCAAAGCCGAAGCACCCCTCCTCTGGCTAGGTGCCTGCCTGCTCGTAGGATGTGCCTAGCCTTTCTACCCATTCTTGGGGTCAGCGAGAGAGAGTGATGGAGAGATTGAGAGAGAGAGAGAAAGAGAGAGAGAGAGACTTTGTCGTCTCGCCGCGTCTCTGGTGTGGACGTCTCGTCGAGTGGCCCCGCAGAAGTCTCGCGGCCCGCATTAAACTTTGCCAAAGCTCTCTATCAAATCCGTCGTCGCTCTGGCTGCTGCACGCCTGCACACACACTCCTCTCTCTCTCCCTCCCTCTCTCCCCCTCTTTTCCCCTCCCTCTCGCTCTCCCTCCATCTGTCTCCACGGAAAAAAAAAGATTCGCTGAGCCAGCTAATATATTGACTGGTATCTGGACAGACAAGCACATAAACTTCTGTAACCACTATATTGCCTACTCTAATCAATCATTGGCTGTGCCAGTCAAAAATTAGCTGTAAGAGCTCATCCCTTACCTAAATCAGTCGAGGTCTACCTTACTGATGCAGGCAAATCATTACTTCATACAACTTATCTTTGACTGGCACAGCCAATGATTGATTAGAGTAGACAATATAGTGGTTACAGAAGTTTATGTGCTTGTCTGTCCAGATACCAGTCAATATATTAGCTGGCTCAGCGAATCTTTTTTTTCCGTGTCCCTCTGTATTCCTCCCTCTCTTACTCGCAGTCTCACACTCGCACTGTCTAGCTCGGCTTCTGTCCCGGCTCTGCATCGACTTGGCTCCGACTTTGATTCGCCCTCCATATCCGAGCGCGTCCAAGCTTCAACCCGCCACGCCCCGCCACGCCCCAACAGGCGACGGTCTTCCCTGCGCCTCCAGTGTGATGACTCCGGTCGCCTGGAGGGTAGGCAACCCATTCGACTCCCGCGCCCGCAAGGCTGCCGCTGCGGTGCGGGGCGCTTCGAACATTACAAAGACAAAGCGGACGATGCCCGTTGAATGCTAAACGAAATACAAGTTGCCTATCTATGGTAAGCGGAATCGTTGATTGGGCTGATGAATCGGGAGGTGCTCGCCGCCGACAGGCAGACCGTATCACTATCGCAACCATTCAATCCACCGAATGGATTTTCCGCGAACCGAATTGACCGACGGCGCTTGTCTGGCCGACATCGTCGATGAGGAAAACGCGCGCGCTCGGTTTCTGCAAATAGAGATCCCGCACTGCGGGCGACGACAGGCACTCGCGCTGGTGGTGGTGGAGGTGGTGGTCGAGGTGGAGGTGGTGGAGGTCTACGCTTCGAAATCTGCTACAGCAGCAGCAGCAGCAGTAGCTGCGGCGCTGGGGCCTCCAGCTAGCAGAGCCTTTAACAAGCCAGCCCAGCAGCAGCCGACTCCCCCGTGTGCACGCGGGGGCCCCGCACCCTCCACTGTACACACACACACACACACACACACACACACTCACACACACACACTCACACACACACTGCTAACATGCTCGCACTCACACACTCGCCGGGGCTGTCTGTCTGATGTGATAACAAGGTTATGGCAAGCGTACCTTGGAATCTCAATAGAGCGATGGAGAGCGGGGAGCCCTTCTATCTCGTGCTGCTGCTGCTGCTGCTGCTGCTGCTGCTGCTGCTGCTGTGGCGAGATGGAGAGGGAAGAGGGGCGATGTGGCTGCCGCAGTCCGCAGGGGAATGTCCCGTGAAATAATCCGAAATATCTCTTGGGGGGAAGCGAGCGAGCGAACGACTACTGCTGTATAGAGCGAGCGGGATGTGGTGGTGGTGGTGGTGGCAGTGTGTGCTAGCGCCGTCGCTCCGCCAGTCCCCATCGCCTCACCGACTCGGCTTCACTGGAAAAAAGTGGGAGGATAAATCTGAAGTTTCTTTAAGTGTAATACGTTTGGTTTCAGAAACAAGACAAATATCTCATGGTTACCTATTAGCTAACGTACATGGTAGACAACTATCATAGATATCTAGTACATACAGTGGTAGATGCCAGTATAAGGAGGTTTATATTCCGTCACATTCTGGAGGTACGCAGTTGTTCTTCTCAACGGTAGGGATGTTGTTAATGGTAGACATCTAGTAGAGCTAAATGCATCTGGCGTTATACATCTATATTTTATTCATCTATTACATTTATATTTTCCCTACAGAACCTAAGTTTGTACACATCCTTTCTGTTACGCTATTGCGGCGTTGCATTCTCTGGTTGTCGAACGGCGTCACTGTGTGTGCGCTTAAGTGTGTTGCTGTCGTGAATGTGAGAGGCTAGGTACAGAGGTGTGTGTGGGTGTTTCAGAAGCAGTACGTAGCGGAGGGCAAAGTTTGAATCGCTCGGTGGCGTGAAATTGTTTGCAAACAGTGTTTATGCGGCTGAGCAGGCATCAGCCCGTACCCCATGTACCGTACTTGAATCCCTCCACCGCTCTCTTTTCCCTATTCCCCGTATTTCCGGTCAGCAGACTCTCGCCATTCACTCAATCACCGTCGCATTTCGAAAACTGAAGCAATGCAACGTTAGCAGTATTATTTTTAGAAAATGTTCTGTCGGTGGTGCACGCCGCGTTACCTGCGCTTGTTGTAGGCGAGCGCGCGCGCAGGTACGCGCTCAGCTTCGCTACATTCTGCTGCTTTTGCCCAATGAGGGGGCTGGTTTATGCTGCTCCAACCCCTAAGTGAGGTGGGTGAGGGAAGGAAGACGAGGTGGAGGGGAAGGAGGGGGGGGGGTGCTGTCCTCTTATTTGTACGATGATCGATTAAGGAGGCGTAATTGTGGTCTAATTTATGAGCCGAGGCCTCTCACCCCGTTCCCTTCAATAACGCCACCCCCTTCCATTGCTGTCCCCCCCTCCCCCTACCCTCCAGTCTGAAAGGCTCACTCTGTCGTGGCAGGTCCAAAACCGAGCAGTAAAAGTTATTTCCGTTGCTGCAACACATTGGCCAGAATGAAGTCAAAATGACCCCATTGTGACGCTCACCGTCAAAATTTACTGCGGGTAGGTAGCGAGATTGAAGTATTTGAAAGTCTTTAAAAAGGGTTCCCCTTAGTAAACCGACGGAATCGTTTTGTCGAGGGCTGAACTGCTGCGCTCATTACTGTCATGTAGATCATGGGAAGGTGGGTCGATGATGCGGGAGTGAAGTGAGGGGTCTCGGTAGTGGCGCTTCGACCACGAGAAGTGACCGTGCATTTTCCTTTGGGTCTCCTTTGGCTTGTTGTCGTCGAGTGGATTCGAGGCGGAAGGGGGGGGGGGGGGTAAGAGGATGGGTGTTGGATTTGCTGCCAACATGGAATCATGGCCCGGCCACAGAGGAGCCGTAGTGGCGGAGGGGCTCGGGTGGTGAGGGTCGGCGAGGAGGAGGAGGTGGTGCACCCTGTGCCAAAACACTTCCGCTCCTTCGGGCCGAGGTCGCCGCCACGCCACGCAACGCGGAGAAACGTCAAACAACACGCCGTGCCAAAAAGTTTTAGCCAAATCACGGATACGCCATTCAATCTGCCCTTTCTTTCCCCTCTGTTCCGCACATGTATCAACGGGCGTGCTTCCTGTCGAGCCGTCTGGACGGACACGGCCTCCTCTTCTTCTTCTTCTTCTTCTTCTTCTTCGACGTATTGTTCTTCCACCCTCCCTCGCTTCTCTGCGCCACCATTCTCGTGTACTTTTTTTGCTTCCCTGGACGGTGTGGACGATGAATACGAATTGCTGTACGTGGCCCCTGTCACACTGCAGTCCACACTGCGGACCTTATCTTGCTGACATGTCTGCATCCGCATCCCCCTCATCCTACTCATGCTTGTCGGCTCGTGAGACAAAAAGGCAATTTTGAAAGAAAAAACTTTTTTCTGTCTTAATCTAGGAATCAATATTTATTTATAGAAGTGAACATGGAATTATGGTGTTGTTACTAATACTGACCAGAAGTGATTTTGTTCTCGTAGTTCTGAAACAGATTGAAAATAGTTAAAAGCTCCGAACTGATTGAGATGCCTGCGATTTATTCTATATTGACTTCACTTCACTTCCAAAGCAAAGGGCAAACTATCAACTTATCAGCACGACTTATTGTATCCATATCATGACTTTGCTCACCTCCCTCGCGATCTTGGCCAAGGTGTCGGCCATCTGGTGACCCGTCTCCTGGACTAGCGAGTAGAAGATGCCCCTCTTTTGGATCAGCATGTACGGGTGGTCAAACTCCTGGGGTGACAAAGTATTA